CTTGAGAACGAGAGAGGTTTGACATCTCTTCGTGACGAGCTAAGGGTAGTTCGTGGGATTGTTGATCGGTCTCGGGATGAGATAGCTGCTCTTCAGACCCTTGTCGATGTCCACCATCGGGAGCACAAGGCTCTCTGCGGGATGCTTGAGCGCAAGGGCGTTCTTCATCGAAAGAAACAGCGGACTGATGGTACGGCTTAAGCCGACCAACGTGAAGCGTGGGATGCGTTCGCATCTTACGTAGTAACTCGATCGTGTATGCATTGCCTAGGCGGTGCAATACACGAAATGGGCCGATGTACTTGGGTAGTAGTTTACTGCTACCCAAGTTAGTCACTACATGCTTTGGTAGATTAACCGTAGACAGTAGAACAAGTCACCTTGATTAAATAAAAGAGTGTTTGCCCTTCCATTCTTGTCAGCTATTTACTTTTGCTTATCCACCGCTTCGGCGATGGAGTCTTGCACAAAACGGACTACCGTTTCACGAGCCAGTATGAACTCATCCGATGACTTGTTAGCTTCAGTGCGCTGTGAGCGCACTGCAGCAACATCAACCTTTTCTTCAGTGAGGGCTTCCGCAATCTCACTGGCATCAGTCGTCTTCGATATCGATGTTATCGATATCGGCATCAAACGCAATGACCTCTTCGTCAGAGCGTGATGAGCGTGAACCAAATCGGTTTTTGCTCGCGCGAGTCCCTCCCCCCCCCCCCTTTAACCAGAGTTACACTCTAGTAAGGTGGGTACACGCGGATGGCGTAAGCCATTCACGTAAAACGGTGTATGTGTCGTGGACGCATGCACCGAGTTGTTAATGGCAAACTCTACCATTGGCAAGAACGCACTCCAACTCTTAAAGGAGTGTACGTATCCTCGAAGTATCTCTTCGACGACACGATTGGCACGTTCCGTCTGACCATCTGACTCTGGATGATCAGATGTCGACATCTTCAAGCGCGTTCCGAGTGATTTGAACACGGAACGCCAGAAATCAGCAGTGAATCGTGGATTTATGTCTGATGCGAGTTCACGGGGCAACCCATGAAGTCGGAAGATGGTGTCACTAAAGACACAAGCACAGCCACTAGCCGTGATTGTCTCTGGTACAGCCACAAGATGTACCATTTTGCTGAATCTGTCAACAAATACGAGAATACCCGTATTCCCGCGTGCGTCTTTAGGTAACCCGAAGACGAAATCCATTGAGATGGATTCCCAGCACTCAGCCGGAACCGGTAGAGGCTGTAAAGGTGCACGCAGTGAAGGACTTGACTTCACTCGTTGACAGACTTCGCATGCGCGAACATACTTTCGCACAAACTGATACTGGCGGGGCCAGTAAAAGTCTCGACTCACCGTGAGATATGTTTTCTCTCGGCCACGATGTCCTCCTATAGGAGCATCGTGATACTCGAACATGATCCGCAAACGCAGATCAGTATCATCTGGGATGACAACACGTGGTGTGTCACCAGAAACGGCTGTATAATCCAGTAACCCGTTGCGAGTAGTGTATCGATCTGATGCAGATCGATACGCAGGCGACAATCGTTTCAACGATTCTCGAGATGGCTGTGAGAGATGTGCCAACAACTTCACAATCTCACCATCTTGGGCATACGCCCGCCTCACATCATCATGCAACGTTGAAGATGGGACTGAGGACGTCATAACCGCAACTGTGACTGTCTCACTGTTGGGTTTCGCGACTGGTTCAAAGTCGGGACGACGTGAGAGTGCATCAGCGACGACATTAAGTCGTCCTGGTTTGTACTCGACCGTAAAGTTGTATTCCGCAAAGAATGACAACCACCGCGCCATTCGTTGTGAAAGGTGCGGGCTGTTCACTGCCGTGCGTAATGACGCATGGTCAGTGTAAACAATGAAGGGTCTATCTCCTAATAGATAGACTCTGAACTTCGCGAGTGCATACTTCATGGCAAGGAGTTCCTTGTCATGCACTGGATAGTTCCGCTCAGCTGGTTGCAGCTGACGCGACTGATAGCAGACGACGCGTTCAACGCCTTCTAGGTCGTACTGCATTAATGCACAGCCGATTGCGAAATCACTGGCATCACAGACCACATGAAATTACCTGTCCTGATCGGCAATTGCTAGGACTGGGGATTGTATCAAGCTCTGCTTGATACCATCAAAGGAGCGCTGAGATTCAGCGTTCCATAAACACCTCTCGTTCTTTTTCAACAAACGAGAGAGGTGCACAGTCATCTCGGCGTAATTGCGTGAACACTTGTGCAAATACGCCGCTGGCCCAAGGAATTTTTGAAGACCTTTGACATCATCTGGCAAAGGCCAGTCGGTGATCACCTTGATCTTTTCGGGATCAGGAAGTACATCGTTCTTACCAAAGATGCACCCAAGAAGTAGTTTTTCGTTCGCTGCAAAAATACGCTTCTTGAGATTGGCATACAATTGATGCTTTCGCATGATTGTAAGAACCCGTCGGACATGGTATCTATGAACCTCAACGTTCGACTTTCCATCCATAGCCCAACTATAAATGAAGACGTCATCAAAATAACTCGGTGCGAATTCTTGTACTGGTCTCAACAGATGTGATACACATCTGTTGAACGTGGCGGGGGCATTACTAAGCCCTTGTGGCATTACTAGGCATTCCCAGAGCATGCCGCTAGGCGTGCTAACTGCGGTATAGGGTATATCCCGTTCTCGCATAAGGATTTGATAGAAGCCATCCATCAAATCCATGGACGAAAAGATGGTACTCTTTGGCATACCATCAATGATTACGTCCTTCCTCGGTATCGGCGTCTGAGCCGGTACCGTTGCAGCGTTCAACTTGTTAAATGCATGCACTATCCGCCACCATCCTGTTGCTTTTCGCACACAGAAGGTCGGAGAGCTATGTGGGGAAGTTGATTCCCTCACATGGCCCGCAGCTAAACGATCGGCAAAGAACTTGTCGATCGCAAGTACTTGTTCACGAGGCAGTGGCCACTGCTTCATGACACAGTACTTCGAGCCTGGTTTAAGCTCGACCTCGTGTCGAATACCTTTATCCTTCGGTAATTCGCATGGAACAGTTTCAGGGAATACATCCTTGAATTCAACCAAATCTTCATAGAGAGGATTTGTCTTGAGTGATTTCCACGATTGGGAGTCATATCGCTCAACTCGTGTCTTTTCATCTAGGACACTCCCATCCATTGATGAACTACTGAAAACTCTCTCGTTCTCAGTGAACACTGTTGCTGACCTTATGTCGGCTACACACTCGTCGTCAGCGACGAGTACGCAGATCTGCTTGACTTTGCCACTACGCAGATCACGCAAGAACCTTTTATGTTCGAGCGTTGGCAACTGAGTGATATCCGAAGTCAACTCCGGAGGCGCAATCAGATCAAGTGTATAAGCGCCTACACTTGATCCGTTGTTGACTATGACATTCAATGTCTCTGTCATTTCCTGGGGACTTATTCCCTCAGGCTTCGAAGGACTTATTCCTTCGTCTTCCCGGGGACTTATTCCCGCGGGTTTCGGGGAACTTATTTCCGCCGTATTTGTAATCTTGGGACTTATTCCCTTAACTTACTCTAGCTGAGGTTGCGCAACCACAGCGAGATCCTCTACGAAAGACTCTCCAGTCGATATAGGATTATCGTTTCGCTTAACCTGAGCGATCGATTGTTTCTCTTCTAGATGTTCCCCGCTAGGGATACATCTTTGTCCCAGTCCACCCGACTTATTCGAGTGGTGGACCTTCGGCGCAGCCTGTGTTTCCTCACAGCCGCCGGAACTTTGCTCCGAAGTGTAACCGTTTGGTACACTAAGGTTTTGTGCAGTCGTACTAACGACCGTACCACAAGTGAGGCCATCGCACTCACTCGTAGTACATCCACACGCTTGTGGACGCTCCAAAACGTTCATCAGATGGCCATCTGATGAACAAGCGGCAGGCATCGTTACTGTTCGATGTTGCCAGTTTACCCGTGGTACGTACCTTCTGAGCCACGGTTAGCCAAGGATGACATCAAATTTGTCATCAAAGTCCAATACGATAAAATCATCGTCATACTGGGTATCTTCTAGCGTATGGTGGATCTTCACTATACGCTTCGTGACGGTTACGGATGCGCCTGTCGCAAGACGTACCGTCATCCTCGTAAGAGGTGTGTCACACTCAACAAAATTGAAGTGATTATCTTCTAGCCATTGGCGTCACACAAAATTGTTGGACGCCCCACAATCGACTAGATCTCGAAGGGACAACATATTCGTCACTTCGAGTTTCAAGGGAATGAGTGAGATTGCATTACCTAGAGCAGCAACGCACAATGGCTGTGTGGTGGGAGAAACCTTCGACGAGAGGCTTGCAAATTCTCTTGACGTTGCTGGACCAGTAGGGTGCTCCGCACCTACTGATCCTGTCCGTTGTTTTGACGGTCCATCCCGTTGTTGCGTCTTTGCACCAACAGCGGACCCGCGTCCCTGCCTCTTTCTCATGGGTGGACGGTCACTACGCCCAGTGTTGCGAGACACTGGACGAGGGGCACTACACTCGTAAGCGTAGTGTCCTGTCTTTTGACATCTGTTGCATTCTGCAACTTCTTGTAGTCTGTAGAGCGAGCCTTCTCGCTCTCTACACAACAGAGTTCCATCGGCTCTGGACCTCCGTTGTCATATCGTCTCGGTTGACGATACGATGTCGAGCTGGCGCGAGTCTGTCTCACACTGAAGTCTTCCTGCTCCGCAATGGAAATGGCTTGTTCTAGTGAATCCAGTTCAAGCCGGAACAGGTGAGTCTTGATGGAACCATCCGCAAGACCCTGCACGAACACCGAAATCAACGTGTGTTCATCCACCGGATTGGAACTTATACAACTCGTGGGGTGTCGTATTTGTTGTACGTAAGCGTGCGCATCACGCCTACCCTGTTTGAGCTTCAAGAATTCGGTTCGAGCTCTGAACTCAGCTAGGCGGTTCAAACGTTTGTCTAAGCCGCGACTTGAAGACTTCTAACGACCCAAATGCATATGGGTCGTGCAACTTGAGCCCCAGTGCCCAAGTCTTGGCACGTCCTGCCAGATTTGATTGGGCAAATGCAACTTGCTTTCCCCATCGTCGATGCGACGCGCCCTAATGGCGTCGTCTAATTCGACGAACCATCTCAAGACGGAGTCCTCTTCGACTCCCCTATACTTGGAGATGTCAATCTTCAAGGTCTCGGGTCGGCGCGAGTGCATCGACCCACCAGCAGCAGCCTGCTGCTGTCTCAACAGTTCAAACTGTTGATCACCCTGTTCTCTCAACAACTCTGCTTGTTGAGAACCTTGTTGGTGAAGCAAGGCTACTTTCTCGCGTTCTGCGTCAAGTTCATTTTGAATGAACTTGGCGATAGTAGCAAGTTGGGCATCTCTATTGAGAGCCTCTAGCATGACGCTAACAGCATGGATGCCCATGGTCGAACCCATCCGTTCAACCGCATCCCATTCGACATCGCTCAAATGGGAGTAGCCGTCACGCGTAGCGTAAAGCTTTGGTCATCTTCATCGTCCAACATATTCATGTTGGATGTGAACGCGGTCCTTGGACGGACTACGAAGTGCTACCAGGTGTAACGGGGCACCCTGAAGCTTGTACTGGTGACAGTACAAGCTACTTATTCTGATGACAGAATAAGGCGGTGCCTCGTAACTTCACGTACACTCGTACGTGCAGAGGAAGACGGTAAGGAGAAGCGAGTACTTGGTTTAAGCAAAAAGTAGAACTGTGTCTATCATAGTTAATGTCTGCAATAAATCACTATTTATCTTCATCTAACTATGCCTAAATACAAATGTGTAAATCAACTATCTGATCACCACTCCTTGCGTGCGTCTGTCGTGGCGCGTCTTCGTTGGTTGATATAACGGCCTATTTCAACCAATCAGGAACTACTTGTAAGTGCTACAGAATATTTGTCCTTATGACAATATTCTGAGAATTTACTCTTTTAGTTATATTCTATTAACAATTTCTTATGAATTGTTATGTAACGGGTCACCCCGTTACAATGCTGACATGGCAAGGCTATTAACCAACCTCCCTAAAAAGGACGCGGGATGGTGTTAGGACTTGGATCAGGCACAAGCTTTTCAAGCCGTTAATAAGAGGCTCCTTCATGCTTCAAGTTTTGCTTTGCCTGACCCGGAGCGACCTTTCACTGTAGTCTGTGACGCATCTGATTTCTTCATTGCCAGTGCATTGTTGCAATCTGATGTCGATGGACACGAACGCGTCATTGCACATGAGTCTCGCCAGCTAAAAGCTGCTGAAAAGAACTATCCAGTTCATGACATGGATTTATTGCAATGAAGTAAGCTCTTGTCAAGTTCAGAGTACATCTACTTGGCTCCAAGCCGTTTTTAATCTACACGGATCATGCGTCGTTGCGCACTGCGACCTAGTCGCCTCATCTCTCGCAACGTATGGCCCGTTAGCTTTCATTCTTTGCCGAATATAACTTCGAGGTGAAGTATGAACCAAGGAAGCAAAAGGCTTTGGCCGATGCGTTATCACGCAGGCCGGATTATGAGCTTGCTCGTGTTACGACTCTGTCTTCTTCTATCCCTTATTTATTCCGTGCGGCTTATGCCAAGGATGATCCGTGTGTCGCGTTGTTACGCGCACTCGGATGTGACAAGTTTAAAGACTCGGACAATAAATTGTCGGCACGCTCGCGTGCTGGGCTACATCGATATTCTTTCGATCATGGCCTCTTGTGTTATAGCACGGATGCGGCAGATACGCCGCGCATCGTCGTACCTCATGATGAGGAATTAAAGTATCGTATCCTCTTTGGGGCGCATGATACAGCTTTGAGCGTTCATCTAGGTCGAGAGAAGACCTATGGCTTGGTCAGCCAACACTGTTGGTGGCCCAAATTTTTCAAATGGGTGAGCACATATATGTGTGCTTGTGAATCGTGCCAACGGGTCAAACCCTCCGCTCGTGCGGCTGCGCCTTTGGCGAGTTTGCCTACACCCACGGGTTGTTGGGAATCCCTTAGCATGGACTTTGTGTTTGGTTTGCCAACAATTTTTCAAACGACAACACTGGTACTGTGGTCTTTGTTGACCGTTTGAGTAAGATGACTCATTTAGCGGCTGTGCTGGCTTCGATTGATGGTGAACGCACAGCACAGCTGTTTATCTATCGCGTGTTTCGTCAACACAGTTTGCCTTTGGCAATTGTTTCAGATCGCGATCCTCGCTTTACAGTTTTGGAAGTCCATCTTCAAGGTGCTAGGCACCAGATTAGCCATGTCCACCGCGGATAATCCGCAGACCGATGGTCAAACTGAACGCGTTAATCGTTTCGTTGGTGACGTTTTGCGCAGCGTTTGCGCAGATACGTTTAGGCGTTGGAGCTCCATGCTTCCGATGGTCGAATTTGCCATGAACAATTCAGTCCATGCCTCGACTGGTTACACCCCGTTCTATGTGAACGGCCTCATTCATCCGCGCGTCCCATTGATAATACCACTCCGTGTTTCTGGGCTTGGTGGGGAGGGATTGCCGATCAGCTTGCTGATGTCAGCCCTGCCACTGTTCAGAAAAAGATTGGTGAGTTTTTGTAAAAAGGTTGAATGTCTTACAACATGTGCAAGATTCAATGGCTGATAGCCAAGAAAAACAAAGGAACAAGCAGATGCCAAAAGCAGAAATTGTTTTGAAAGTTATAGAGTCGGAGCCCAAGTCTTGTTAAACGCTCGAAATCTACCTACAAATGTAGTGGCAGCTGTTTTTAAAATGAGGTTGCGTCCGCGTGTCTTTAAAGCTTTTACGGTTGTGGCCAAGAAGGGCATTGCGTATATGCTCAACTTGCCGGGCAAATTGCGTACCCATCGCGTCTTTTATGTCGGCCTGCTCAATCCATGCCGGCACCCGTCCCATGTTGACTAGAAGGCGCTTGCGCCGCGTACATTTGCGTTGCCTCAGGATGTTGCATCCAAATTAAGAGGTCAAGTTGAGCCTCGACACGAGTCTGACGTGACTCCATCTTCTGAAGACGGGCGCGATCGCCTTCCAAAGTCGCCAGACGAGATCGGGCTTCGCCAAGGGTGTTCTGAGTCTGACCCAAAATCTCACGGAGATCTTCCACTTTCTTCACCAACTCATCTTGGCTTTCATCCGATACTCCTACCGCCACCGGCGTTGCTTGACAAGCAATGGAACTTACAGCTCCATGTGAAGCGGTTACTCCAACGACGTCGTTGTCATGGTCACTAACAATATCTGGTGAAGTGGCGTGGGTACCCTGAGTCTGAAGACTCATGGGAGTATGAGACTCCCCTTCGGCAAGATTACCCATACGCCGTTGACGTTTTTGAGCACCACGGCCGAGCTCGTCTTGACGAGCACACGCTTCTCATTCGTCTTAGTGAGATCGGGCGAGATTGTGTCAAAAGATTGACGTGAACTCGTGGCTGCAGAGGCAGCCGAAGCATAGCGGGAGCGTGATTTCCCCACAGACGGCCTCTGGCCTTCAACTTCGTGAAGTCATAGCGAAGCTTTCGCTTTACACGAACGTCTGCCACACCGGCACTTTCGCGTAGCGCGTGCATGCTACTGAGGCGTCGAACGCCATGCACCCAGCGGATGAACATATCGTCCTCCGCAATTTTGTCCTCATTTTCGGACATAATGATGGGTACACCCCTAATTTGTAGAACCGGTGTTTATTGGGCCTGCTTTTGCAGCCGTTCTCTGTATTTACTCAAATTCAGCACAGTAGGTTCCAAGTACCTCTCTCGAAGAGCCTTGCGGCATTCGATTTCAGTGGGCGTTTTCGCCTTGAGGCGGGTGGCCTCTGTTAGCTCTATGAGCTAACAGCTCAACTACTGTGTAGTTGTAGAGAACCACAAGCACAACGTGCAGGGGAATAGGAGTCAAAGGACTATCTAAGCTACGGTAGTTCTAAGGAACTGCAGGGCACAATGAGGGGAAAGGGGGGGGGTGAAGTCCAGGGACATCTGCTTAAAATGAGAACTGAACTTTATTTAGATTTTTATCAAGGAAAATTCTACTTTAAGTACCCTATATTGTACTAAACTGCTAGTACGAATACTAGTATTCAAACTAAATGGATGGTCGGCACATCACTCAGTCATCAAATGATGACGGTACAAAGTACGTACACGGTAAGTACCGTAAACCTAGGAAAATCGATCAATCGATATTCTCTTGCTGATATATAATCTAAGGTCACACACATTCATCCGTATCATTTAGAGGAGGTCTTTAACAAATTTGTCCAATGGCTAGTGTGACCCCGTTACACCCTCCTTCACCAGTCTGACGTTACCACAAACGTCACTCGACTCATTCTCCCATTATGACAATTTACAAAAGTAAAACGCTCACATGGACTAACATGGACACCTCCTGGAAATTAAGGCTCTAGAAGAATTCCTTGGTGTCGAGGACGTGGACTTTGACAGTGGTACTGATACCAAAGTCGAGGGGGAGGGGCAATCCAAACTCAACACACCTGTGCATGGGGAAATTCCTCATTCGGCACCTAATCCGTTCCTCGAACGCAGTGCCGCGACGTGCTAACAGCGCTGGGAGCAATGTCCCACATGGGTACATCCATTATCACTAACCCGCTTGATGAGGAGCAACAACGCATGCTATATCAAGCGGCAGCGTACGGCCCAAGTCAGAAGTTCAGACAAAGTTGCAACGACACCGTGAATATACGTTGACTCCACCTGGCGTGGAAGAACTAATTTGTCAAGCGTCACGCCGTTCCGTAGAACTGGGTGACTCTTTAACTTGATCTATTAGTTCCGTAGAACTAGTAGGCTATCAGCCGTAAGCCGTTGGCTTGTTAAATAAGTTTTCCTCTGACTTAACGAGCTGTGTAGCTCCGCTGCATCTTGAGTCTCCTGAATTTTATTTCTCCAAGCGCGAGAGCAGTCTCGCCATACGGTAGAATGCACAATAGAATCAAAACCTCGACTTGGTCAACGGACGGTTTTCACGGGCCCTTTTGGGATTGCCTGCCGTGATTCCCAACGTCATGAGCCGGCAGAATTTAAGATTTAGGAGTCGTAAGACGGTGTAATGGTAGATGTCACGAAGTAGTTACCACACAATAAGACATCTTATAAGTATTAAAAAGCTAAAATATGCATTATGAGCCTCTCACTAATAGCTGCGGATTGCCACGGTAGTGTCATGCATTAGCACCTCGGTCGAAGCGTTAACGTTGCCTTCATCATCTATCAGGTCGAAAGTGAAAAATGGGGGGATGAATGACCTTGTCAAGTGTGGATTGCAGTCGACAAGATGGGTTTTACACAGATGTGAGTAGTTGTTTCCACGACGGTGCAAGAATTTTTTTGGCCTGATAAAGCGGTCCACGTCAGCTATACGTGCAGTGATTTTTGATTTAGGCCTCACGTTTACCATCTCATTTACTGGATTTTCCATCACAAGGCACACACGCGTCTTTATCCACAACACTTGTGTTGAAGCCTCACATGAAAGCGAATCTTTGGGTTCATTCTGTTTACAGGCGCTAATCGCGCATTGCAGAAAATAAACCGTCACATTTCTCGACATTCGATCAGGCATTCGTATTGCGACCGCCACGATGGATTAGAGTAACGAAGAGTCGCTCGATCGACTCTAGGAGAGTAGGTATCAAGAATTCACGTATACGCATAAGAGCGATGAGGACGAAGGTTTGTTTTTGGGAAGTCAGCAACGCGTCGACCTCTTTCTAAAGCAGCGACTGTTTCCTCGCTGAATGTGGTGCGCACTTTTTGAAGACCCATCACTATGGACGGTCATGTTCATGCAAAAGCTGTCGATAGAGAGAGACGCAGACGTATCTTTTAAAATCTACTTATGATGACAGGCTGCAGTATATATTTCAAGTCCGCTTATTAACGCCGGTGTCTCATACGAGTCTGCTAGTTGTACGTGGCTCCTCACCCGAGATGATGGCTCTCTTATTTTCCGTATACTTGAAACTACTATACAGAGAAACGATGAGACAAGTGCTCTTCTCTTGCTAGTAGTGCAGAAGCTGTCGGTATTATTCCATAACTACAATACAGAGAAACGATGAGACAAGTGCTCTTCTCTTGCCAGTAGTGCAGAAGCTGTCAATTCTGATCCATGATGCGTCTTGTTATGCACTTGCGCAGCTTCAGTTAGAAGTAAAAGTAAAATTTTTGTCGTTCTCTAGTTTCATTTGCCACTACAGCATGCCCCTGAACTGCACTGTAACTTGACCACGTATCTGTCCGGGAACATTCGTCCTTCCTTCCCATCTAATTCGGTTATTACACGTTGCAACCGTGTATTTTGTCCTAGTGGTCAGATAGCCACCTCGCTGACCCATCTGTCAAGTCCTTGACATGTCTCTCCCTTTCCCACCTGCCAGATCGCCTTATCGTGGTCCCACATGTCACCTAATCTGAACACTGGCCAATCAGGTGAGGCCGTAATGTGGTGCATTCCTTAAACCTTAAAATCTGTCCAACAGGGTGGTTTCTATTAGACGGGACGTTGCTTCCTGTGGCTGCGAGACGCGTCCGTCACGCTCATGCGCCAACTTCTTGCGCGTTAGAGGTAGGTTCATGACCAGCGTAAACTTTGCTGTTCGAAAACGTCAGTTTATAGTCGAAAGAATGGTACAAAAAGACGTGCCGCATTCGGTTACAGCTGGTATGATGCAATACAAGTGAAATGTGTGTAGAGTTATGTAAAAGCTAGAGGGAGTGTGTGACTCTAAACAGTTACGCATCGGAAAAGCTAAGCATAGTAGTATTGATACATACATACAAATGCTAACAAGAAAACCATGTACAAGTGCACTTATAGGTACAAGTTACAAGACAGGGTCCCTGGACAATTACATTTGTACCCACAAGTGGCAGCGTAAGGATCGTTTTACCGATATTTTTATCACCCATCAAACAGCCAAGAATTGGTATTTTGTTCGCTGCGAATATACACTTATTGAGGTTCGCGAACAACTTATGCTCTCGCATTAGTGTAAGAATCTTCCGGACGTGGATTCTATGAACCTCCACGTCCGTCTTTCCATCCATAGCCCGGCTATAGACGAAGACATCGTCGAAGCAACTCGGTGCGAAATAGCGCACCGATCGCAACAGATTCGTAACACATCTGTTAAATTTTTGATCTAATAACGCAGATTCAGTTATTTGTACTTACAATTGTAGCAGGAGAAAAGGTGATCAACTAAAATTGCAGCGTATAATTTCACTTTAGTGTACACGACCGGATCAGTGCACTTGATGTTACGCTCAACGCTTAAACAAGAAAATATCAAGTCTTTTGATCGGATAAAATAATACAGCTGCACGATAACACTCGACCATCAATAATTTATTACCCTTAACTAATGAATGTAGACCGTTCAAAATGCAGCTGACTTTTCACTGCCTCTGGTCTTCTGCGTACACCTCAAATACAAGATGATGAACTAATAGCAAAATGACGATGAAATGATGGTCTTATCCCTCTATCGTTCCCACTAATAGATAATAAGAATTGAATTCATCTACAATTATGGGGCAGGAATGAGCAGCATGGAGAGCGAAATTGCTTATTCACCGTCCAGAAGTGCTATCAAAGCTGATAACACATCCTTTGAAGGAGAAGACATGGCAAGAATATTTTTAGACTACTGATGTTTCTGTAAGGCTCCTGACACGCGATGAATTGCGACAGATCACAGCAGTAACATCAAGGCACAGGATTAGTGACTGTGTTGAGCAGCAAGTGTATAAGTGTAATGGGGTCACACTAGCCATTGGACAAATTTGTTAAAGACCTCCCATAAATGATATGGATGGATGTGTGTGACCTTAGATTTTATATCAGCAAGAGAATATCGATTGATCGATTTTCCAGGTTTACGGTACTTACCGTGTACGTACTTTGTACCGTCATCATTTGGTGACTGAGTGATGTGCCGACCATCCATTTAGTTTGAATACTAGTATTTGTATTATTTCCAGTTTAGTGTAATGTAGGGTACTCAAAGTAGAATTTTCCTTGATAAAAATCTAAATAAAGTTCAGTTCTCATTTTGAGCAGAAGTCCCTAGACCCCCCCTTCCACACATTGTGCCCTGCAGTTCCTTAGAACTGCCGTAGCTTAGATAGTCCTTTGACTCCTATTCCCCTGCACGTTGTGCTTGTGGTTCTCTAGAACTACACAGTAGCTGAGCTGTTAGCTCATAGAGTCCACCCGAGTTCCGTAGAACTGGGTGACTCTTTAACTTGATCC